TCACATTGCAAGGATTTGCAACTCTTAAAGTTTGGAAAAACGGTTCACAACTGGTTTTTGTTTTTGACAAAAAAATTAGATATTCAAGAGTTTCCAAAGGTGACCAATTTAATTAGTAGCTCAGTTGTAGGCCAGCTCATAGAAGACGCCAAATGCAGCAAATACTCTCCTTTTGAGTGTAAAAGTGGAACTTAAGACCTGAAAATCTGTTTCCCAATATTTTCTAAACAAAACGGTAGTCCTAGTTGGTGTCCCTAAAGTCAAGCGTTTTTGAGATATTCGGGATTAAATTAATCGGTTCGATACATTTAATCTTATAGGCACGTACGTAAAATAAATTGACTTAGTAAACACAAGCCAATATCTGATAGTTCATGCAGAATGGAGCCTAGCTCATTTCTCATTGGTGAGATTTAGTGAGGAATTACTTAAATGCCAATTTTCCATCCAAATCGTTGTAATCGACGGGAAAGGTAAACGCCAAAGCCATCACAAAGTCCAGATGTGAATCCTCTAGATTTTAGTCTTTAGTATCAGAAGAAACGAAGACTCGCGATATGACATTAAGAAAAATTCAAAATGCCCTGGAAACATTTCGGATTAACATCTATTTTTTTTAAATAGAATTTCGTTTCATAAACGTGTGATTAGAAGGTTAAAAGACGCAATTTTGAAGAAGTCTTGTAAGAAGCCGATCAGTTTTATTAAATTAATATGCTGTTGTATCCATTAAATTGTTATTGTTAATGAAATTATTATTGTCTTATATTATTCCATCTATAAATAGCAGATTTTTTAATCAATTTCATTGCAAGTATTTCGAAAACTGTTAAAAACCCAAAAAAACCAAAAAATATGTTTGTTGTCACTTCAATAATCAGAAAAAAGTTACGGAAGTTTTAAAGCAGGTAGCAGGCGAATCATTTGGTGCAGGTGGTGCCTTCTTTCATATGGCTTAAAATTGAATTGCTAACCGACTTTTTCACCCCCGAAAACCCTGAACATCTAATTCTAGTAAAAAACTGCAAATTTTTTGTGAGATATTCGAAAAACACCAATAAAAAAATTACTGTTTGGTAACTTCCTATTTGGATTTTTGTTTTTGTTGACACTTCGTCTAAGGTAAGTGTCCTATAAAGTATTATTTTGACCCCAGAAATATGCTGTTAAATTTTTACAACTTCATCTGGGACACTTGTTAAATCAATTAATTTAAGTTTCATAAATTAAAATACTGAATCTGGAATTTTTGGGCTGTTCTAAGAAATCTTCTTGAAGGTAATCAGCCTCGAAAACAATTAATTAAAATACCGCGCTACTGGTTAACTGATTGACCATGGTGGTCAATACTTACTTGCAAAAACAATATAACAAAATTGTCTCGCAATAAAACATTATAACAGCTAATATACCGTGAATTTGTGGTCTACACAAAAGTAGTTTCGGCACAAAACAGACTTTAATAATGCCATAAATATTCTTGTCAATTAACCCCCTGCCCGCAGTCATCTTCAAGTGGATGATTCAGTTCGGTGTAATAAACCCAAGACAATATTTGCTCCTTAGATTTTAAGATTTATTACTTTTTTAAAATTTGAAGTATTATTGAACGTGTAAAAACATGATAAACTATATACGCTGCTCAAATATATCAGTCTAATACTATGCAGGGTGATAAAAAGTGTACACATTAATTTAGTAAAATGATAAAAGTTCGACCAAAATGAACATAAAAGAGAATGTGAACTAAAGACGAATCTGCAAAGGAACGAGTTCCGATATGTGGCAGGTTATTCTTTTACGAATCATTATTTACAATTTAAAAGGTTACGTAGGAAATAAAAAACCATAATTTTTTCCTAATGCAGGCAGATCATCTTTTTGATAATTAAGCAGATTTGAAGATCTCAGACTTGTTGACATTTGTTCGTAACGGCAGTACAATACTTGTCTAGCAACACTAGAAACTAATAAATAACATAGGAATAATTTTCCTTCTTTCGTTTTTCGAAAAAAATCCTTTTTTTGTTGGATTTTAGTAGTTTGGATCATAGTAGTACCCCAATACATTTCCCAAAGATCCTGTATAATTCAAATTAATTATACGAGTAATGGCCTAGAACAACGTTTTCCTAGCTGTAGGTCGCGAGCCACTATTTATTGTGCAGTAATACATAGAATTATGTAATTCTGTTTTCAAGATTTAAGCAAATCTGTGATATTTGAAACTGATACATGAAGCCATTGGTAAGATTGCGGAGATTATAATTAACTTATTACAATACACGTGGTGCAATGCGGTATGATAATGAGCTTGTGCTGAATCAAAGAAAAGAAAACTCGGTTTGTTAGGTGAGTGAATAATTAACACTAATGGTTTCCATTTCTTATCTCATAAGTTGGTTCAGTTTACTGAGAAAATATTTTAGTGCTTTACGCGAAATAGAATAGCAATACAGTAGGAAGAATTATATGTTTTGGATCTACAGGAGAAAAATTGTTTCTCTTCTTTCCATTTTGACCTAGATGGTATATTTCAGAGATAATGCAGAAAATTAGGCATCTGTAAGTATTTACTCTACTACGGTTGGGTTCGAACTGTTTAGCTTAAATATTTATCAATAGTAAAAATTTCAAGTGAGGTGCTATGTTTGTGTGTGGATACTATATTTTCTTATTTTTGCATGAGTGGCAGCACTGAATCTTTTCAGAAATGTTTTCACGACTAATCGAGTCTATAAAATAGTACATATTCGTATAAAATCGAAACTAATAAATAATCTGCATGACCTGAAGCAATTTTTAATGAAATTGCAACGAAAAAGTTGATTTGATTTGTGTTGTTGGTTGAGAGCAGCGATTGAATTTTTTTTTTTTTAATCAATTCATCAAAAATGTTTGCATTATTCGTTTAAAGTAATACAATTATTATAAACCGGAAAACGAGAAATGTATGCAACTTTCATATCAAACAATACAATCAGTTCAAACAAAAATATACAAATACAGAAAAGTCTTATAATTCAATTATGTTTGTTAATACTGCAGAAATACAGCATTCCTACAAATAAAGGAAACGACTTTTGAATATAATTTGAGACTGATATACATATATCCATCCATCATCCACATCTTAAACATTAAATTTTCTGATAATTAGTATGAGCCAAGATTCATTAGTGCTTTAATTAACTCTGTTTGTTATTGGTGATTATTGTTTAGTCTAACCTGGAAGTTAATTCTTTTTTATTACAGCCTAAACGATACTATAATGACTTTACTGAATTAATAAACGTAATTGTGCTCACATATACAAGATTATCGTTATATGATAAAAATTAAGTTTGAATAAATCAGGTAAATGTGTCAATTTCCAATCACATTCATCAAAAAGCGATCATATAGCTTCGCAAAATTACCCAATGTCCCACATTTCAGTACTTTGAAGTAATATACCCTTTTCCCCGATTAAAGTTACGTTTTTCTGAGCAGCGTAGAATAAATCGACTGAAAAAATAACAATTTTCATCGCAGTATAACTGCGACCACGGGTTCTATTCAGAATTCACATGAGGTACAAAAACTTTCAGAACATATGGAATTGTCAATTATTTGTCTATGAAAATATATTCTAATTAGCATTTAAATTAAATGAATATTAAAATGGGTGCTGGTGAAGTTATAATTATTAATTACACATTACAATAAATTAAAATTTTATCGGCAACTCGTCAAAGTGTTCTGCTCTCAAATTTTCAGCCTTTGAAGGTTGACAATTAAATTTCAAGGAAATATATTATTTAAAAATTGTGAATTAACGAAAATGAAAGACTCAATTTCGTATCAATTTCCACCCTTTTTCAGGAGAACGAAGTTATTTTTGTATCATCTTGCATAAGTTATAATTATTTGAGAGTACCAAAAATATTTCCAATTCTTTCAAATAAATTTAAGCTGCGGAAATTCCTCCTAGAAATGTTTTTGCTCTTCCGAAACTCCAAGTCCAAGTAATTTTGAAATAAATTTAGATGATCATTGCAGTATAATCTAGTAATAAATGTAATTTTATATTTCTATATTACAGTATATAATACGATTTTATAGCGGCGAATTATTTACGCCAGTCTTTTCAATAAGTATCTTTTATTGAAATTTTTACGCTGCCTTGTGTAAATATGCGGTGTGCATCTAAATTCAGCACTTTGCTAATAAGATCAAACTCCAAGTTTACTCCCAATTCTACGAAAAATATGCAGCTCTTATAGAAAATATTTGCGGAAGATTTTCCATCAAAGAACTCCACATATTTAAATTTTGATAAATTAATTTATAAGTACGCACTTAAGCCTACTGAAATTTAATTATTAATCTAGGAAACAATATTTTCCCATTTCAGCATATTGTGCGAACTTTTTGTTGCACTATTTTTAAAGGAAATAATTCTCAAAAGCATTTGTAATTAAAAGTAACAAATTTTAATTAACGTTATTAATTTTTACAGTGATGTCGCGTCAATGGAAAACTATAACTGGTCACTGAGAGTGATAACATCATTTGTAAAGAATCACACATGTTAAAGAACTAAGAACAAAAGTACTTGGATTGCGCAAGTTAAAATTAATGATTGAGTTCTTAATATCTGAGCATTCAGAATACAACTATTTGAAAATTTTGAGTTTCAATTTCAACTTTAAGCTAGCATATTTACACTTATTGATCAAACACTGTATTTTGTATATTTGATTACTGCAGTAACTCACAAATGACTATAAAATCAAGAAAAACTTCGGTCTCGCTCGAATCATTATAGCATTTCAATTAAGAAGCTTTTACCTGCCTTTTCTGGCTATAATAAATTCAGGAAATTCTGTTACACACATTACGGTATTGTGCAAATGTTGAAGTAAACTCATTTGCATAGTACCACATATCAATTATATAAAGCTTTACAATTAATATGAAGAAAAACAAAATAGTTCTAATGCTGTAAACTTACCATCTCTTACACATTACTAGTAGACCGCGATGTGCAAGACGAACAACACAGAATCAAAATGATTATCTTTGTCACCACGAATATTTTATATACGTATATATATGAAGGTAATCGACTTAGTATCAACCACGGTCTATTTTTGATTATGGATTATGGATAACTTTGGAATCATCCGATAGAAATCTACTAAAGTGGGATTTTGAGCAGTAAAAAATTAAGAGCTGGACATATCTCCCAAAATATTAAAGAATTTTTGCCTTTCGACTATTTTCAGTCAAATTTTATTTATATCAATCGTTTTTAAAACGCTCATTTTTTGTTTTCATAACGCTATCAATCATTCATAGAAAATTATATATAATTCATACCAAATGTCTGTGTACCTAAACCCTGGTAAACATGGTGAATTCTCCTGGTTAGCAGCTATTGTTTTCATAATTTCATAAAAGTAAAGTAGACTCTATCAATTAAAATACAATATGTGTTGTAATATCGTACAGAATATAAATAGTTTTATGCTTTGGGCGCCCCTACAAAAATAAGCAAATAAATGGAAGAAAATTGTGAAATAATTTGAATGGTTTTATAAGGTTTCGTTCCAAACTTGCTCATGTTGCAGAAACTTAGCTGTACTGAAAGAATGTCTCTTTGAGACAAATTGGCGAAATCTAAGTTTTTGGTCAACTAAGGTTCGCATAATGACAATTTTCTATTTAACGGTTGACTATTCAATTAGGTACTGATTTTCATGCTATCTTCATGATATCATCTATACCCCAAGTAAATTTTCTTTCGTACCTCTGTCGACTGGTATAGAGCGGTTATAACAATGTAAACTACATTCCGAAAAAGCTAATTTAAAACATATAAAAAGCTACTGAATCGGCGAATAGCTAAATGCGATTACATTACGAAAAGGTCGTACCCCTATTTATGACTCTGCTGGTCGATTTAAACAGCTTTTTTAACATTATACATAACATTAACATTGTGTACATACAAAGTGTTTCATAAACAAGATATTAGAACTTTCTAGTAAATTGCGTATAGCATGTTTTATACCCGTATTCAATCGTTTTGCGATTTTATAACCTTAAGTGGTTACTGAATTATCTATATGTTGAGACGTTAGGCAATTTAAGTGAAATTCCGTTTTGAGTGGCACATACTTTATAACTCGTAATTTCTGCAATGATATCTGCTGTCAATAATAATCTAAGTCTATGATGCGATTTGATCGATTCATTGCAAATATACTACATTTAATAATTTTCCTGCGATAAAAAAACGCAAATATTACTAAAATGGACCTGGGTCCTGAAAGGCCTATTTATGGGCTATGTCTTTATGGGCCAAGTCTATGGGCTTTTTAAGAGTTTTTCATTTTATAAAAACTGTTTATAAGTAACCGAGTTACAGAGTCAAGAGTGGAACTATGTGCAAGATTGAGCGTACGCTTGTGAATATTCAGAACCCATTTCCTTCTAATCTGTTACCAATACAAATTTTCGTATACCCAGTGAATGTATCGAGAATACTCTTTGCAAGTTCTATTTTTAAAATGAGTTAATCGAGGTAAAAATCCAAAAGATTTTGTTCGGAAAATGTGATGGGTTTTGCATTGCGAGCTTTAGTCATTTATCTCTCACTATTTTCTTGTTTGTAACGTAATCAAATAATTTATTAAGTTTTGGTTTTGATGTGTTTTGTTTCTGCATACAGGAGTCGCACAGCACTTGTAACATTAGGAATTGATAATTAACACTCAAATTGCATAGTATTTTGTGAAATTCCTACTTACAGCATAGACGAATTTTTGTGGCAAAATTTAATTTATTGTGGACGTAATGGTTTTTTTTGAAATAGCAGACTGCAGACGTACCAGAAAGGTGAAAATTTGACGGTTTACCAAAATCATGGAGGGCAAGCCATCTAAAACGAAAGTAGGTTTACCTTGTTAATTTTAAATGCAAGACCCTATATATAATTACATTTTTGAATTATTCTAATGCAAATTAAAAATTAATTGAGGATTTCATCATTTGAGGGATTCAAGTACCTCAACTTTTCTTGAAGCTCATTTTTATAGCTATTTATTTGACGCAGTAATATATGCTGACCTGCTTTGAATAAAATATTCATTGATGGGAGCTAAGACAACATGATATAATGGATGTCGATAGATGGAAATTCCCTCATAAAAATGTATGCCCTACACAAACGAACTAAAATACAATAAAAAATGATGTAATCGATTTTAGATCACGTGGTAGTTTGTCAGAGAGATATGAATGATATTCTGTTAAGTTGACATAAAAGCAATAACACTTGAGACAGTATCAGGATCTGTACAAAATTGATCACTTTTCCCGATCGGCCAAATATGTGGGATAAGTTGTTCCATCTTTCTGCACAAGCAAACTTGAGCTTTCGGATTTAAAGACCTGAAACAAGCTTACTTTAAAACCGTGTGTAAAGTTATCTAGTGATAGGTAAGCTTTAATGAGCATCTCGTCGATTTATTTAGTGCGAGGAATATCAACTCGAGTGTGATATACAGGGTGACAACTTTAGCCACCTCAACTCCTAAAATGTAAATTGCAACACCGTATTTGTGATTGCGCTTCTTATAACTGTTTAGAAATTGTTTACAATTGCATGACATTAAATTCCATTTGTTGAAGAAGTTGTCGACTCATTAATAAGAAAAACGATTTCAGTATTTTAATATTTCTCCAATTTGTGTAATTTTATCTCAGGCGTTCCCAAAAGAAAACATCAACTGGGGTGTGGTTTGGAGATGGTGACCCACAACCATTATGTAACTGGAAGTACATACTGAATGGAGAATAGTCTTGTTGAAAATGTAGTAAATTTTGGTTTAGAGACACATTTTCTTGAATCTCTCTCTGAGTTTCTACTTGGTGAATAATTAAATACCTTATCCTATTCTGAACCGTTCAAGTTTCCGGCTATAAATAAAGCCCCAGTAGCATCCCTCAATAAATATACCAGACCAAATATTAAGCCTTTAAGGGCACGTACTACACACTACTACTTCTCATAGCAACTGTGAGTTCGCGTCACTCTATTAACGGCAGTTTCATTCACTAAGACATCTGTTTCAATAAAAGTAATAATAATCTCTAAAAAAGTGTTTTTTACTTGCCCTGCTTCATCACCAATTTTGTGCGTCACAGATTCACAAAATTGAGTTTCCCTGACAGGATCACCGTTAGAAAGCTTCAAAACCAAAAAGACCGAGTAAAACCAAAACGTATTTAAGATTCCTTAGGTGGTTTGACAACTTTTTCATCCATTTCAAATTAATTAGTGATCGAAATAATATTTAATACAAGAATTATGTTCATCATTTATTAAGATTTATTTCTGTAATTTGAAATAAATTTTTTAGTTCATATCGTGGGTTTAAAGCAGGAAATGACCATGTCTCTAATTGTCGTATTTGTGTTTGTTGAGCAAGTAATTTATAAAAACAAGGTCCTTGTTTTAAAAAACTGAAGAAGTTACCCTAGGCCACAGAAACAGGTGCACTGAAATATGTTTTTATTGACCAAGTTTCGAAAAGGCTTCTGATAAAATTTTTGGCTCTAAAAGTTTTGGCTTTAAAAGTGCATTTTCTAAATAATTTATATTTTAGGCTTTCAGTCAGTTTCAGCTTAAAGCCCACGATATGCCCGCAACTACTTCATCAAATGGAACTTTAGGCAATGCACACGTGAATAATTTTTATTATTAATATAAAAAAACATATATTTTACCATTTACAATACAATAGTGGGTATAATAAAATAGCTTGAAAATGTAAATTATCCCCATGAAAAGCTTCGTGAGTATCTCATAGTTAACTCGGATGGCAGTTAAGATTATATGATATTTTCTCTGGATGTGAAGGTGGCAGCAATACTCGAACGCAAAGCAATAAACAGAAAATTTAATTGGAAAATGCAAGAACTAAAACATGGTAACAGCAGTACAACTAATAGATCTGAACAAAATGCGAAGATATAATAGGTTTCCACGCAGCTGTCATGCAATGAACGGAATGTGAAAATAAAACCGTGAAAAAGTACTTAAAGGACTGAAAACGAGACAAGTTGACGGAACAATTGGAGATACCCACTTTCAACCAATCGTATGACCACGCTCAGGAGTAGCTTCACCAGTTCTGTAAGCCGAAGCAAACATTTTTCCAGTCATGCAACAGAAGCGAACAACTCTATTACTATCGCCTGTATTTCAAAGCATATATAACACAATTAATAATTGCCTGGAAGATCAGAAAACACGGATCTAGGTACTGAGTTGGCTTTAGTAGCACAAATACCTACCCAGTTCACTGTATCTACAACTTAACAGTTTAGTTCAAGTAACAAAAAATCAAAAATACGATAAAGATTTTTCTGGACCCTTTTCATAGCCTTATCCTTTATGGTGTCACGTACATAAAATCCCGTAAACTGATTACCGAAACCTCTTAAACTTCATCGTAAAAATGTATCGCCTATAACATTAGCGACTTTACAGTAAGAAAAAGGCTCTTATCGATTGCTCGCAGAACCGCTAAAATTTGCCACTACTGTGACCGATTACTTTTTGAGATGACATAGTTTAAGTAATCTAATAATGTTGTGATGTATTAGGATTTCAACCAGAATTGATTAATAGACCCATTTGATTTAACACATGACCGTGTTTAGACGTCGACAAATGCTCAGCTTTCAGCAATTACGTTTCGATATGGGCAATTATTTTATCTGCCACTGCCGCCCATATATGAGAAAACTGTGAAATTGCATGTAACTAGCTGAAATATTTCCTGAAAGAAAAAATAGTCAAACACGTTTCAAACATACGACCGGATATCAGGATTATCACAATTAAATATACGCATGCTTCTGGAGCGGATAAAGCTAAACACGACGTGTTCTTCGACATCATAATCAGTAAATTAATTTTCCATTAAAGCTGTTATACTTTTTAGCTTCTTTTCTAAATACCTCTGCTGATTTTTTCAATTTTTATTAAAATATGTAATTTGATGCACCCCACAGCTGTAAC